ACTTAATGCGTACCAGAATAATTAATATTTAAAATAATATAAATATTAATTTTTATTTAGTTGTCTGGTAATGTATATAAAAAATTAAAAATGAACTATGTGACAGGTCAACATTATATAAATAATAATTTTTCCGCACGTGAATGTGATTAAAAACCTAATGGAATACTAAAACAACATTCGTATAAAACAGTAGCTTCTAGGAGGCCCCCACCCCCTCTTCGATTGAAAATATCTGAAGCAAAAAAGTAGTTATAAATCACATTATTTTGCGACTTAGGCTCCCCCTCACCCCCCAATTAATCATCAACCCCAATTCCACCCTCGTCTCTGCACCTATCCGAAACCCCGATCCCCAGTTTCAAGACTCCAGATACGCCACTGGTCTAAAATTCATCAATTATATTTCATAAGTATACTGCATATTGGATAAGTACATATATATATCAACATAACTGAAAGCAACGTACTTGCTATAGATTGATAAGTGATTGGCTAATACAGTAAATGACCTTAATAAAAAAAATTCTCTCTCTATCACTATCAATCTACTAAAAAATTAAACTTCATGTTGGTGTGAAATCTACTCAACATTTAATGAATAAATAAAATTTATTTAAACTAAAAAAAACAAAAGAATTAAAACGTGTGTATAGGCCTAATAAGTAAGTAAATCCTTGTCGAGCTTCTGGGCTCATAGGGCTTTAGCTTATCCCCAGCTCCAAGTAACCGTGAAGTGGATAAGAGCATGATGCTCCCCCTGGGTGGGACGCTGCACCTCCCCCCACCCCACCCGCAGGTTACTCCCAGCAATATGCTGGTACCGTACCCATTAATACAGCTGGATAGACCGAAGCAAGGAACATAAAGTGCTATAAAGTGCCTCAAGGACACAAGGCACAGCGAAGAATTTCAACACCAACCTCGAGGTTGGAAAACCAAACAATTTTCAGTGCGCCAAACCGCCTCCATGCCTATATATAACCTCTCATAAATTTGGTGGACACGAAGTAAAATTTTAAAGAAATAATAGGCCTATTTTTGAAAATTTTATTTCGGTGTGGTTCACAATAGAGCAAGTTAGACGCGTTAACACAACCCAAGCATTGAATTAAAACGCGGTTGTGACGTACTGAACGGAAGCCCCTCGACGTAGCACAACTTTTTTGTCGTGAAACAGTTATTAGGCCTCTCATACATATTTACAGGGATCAATACTGTACCAATAAATATTACATTTTCCTGTTATTTTATTTTGACTCTTCTTTTATTGGATGAGGAAAGCTTAATTCACTGGTATATCGAGTGCAGTGTACCATCAATATTAGAGGAGTCCCTATATATTTATCAAAAATACTTTGTAAGCGCGATCTTTTGATTAAAATTTCAAAAGAGAATATACATCAACAATTTTTATAAAATATTAAGTACCTCTATAAAAATGCAGGTTTGCTCATAAATTTGTATGTAAAAAATATATAGGTTCGTTTACGTACACATGTATTTACAGAAATTTAATTTCTTACGTCGTGTATAAGCTTAAGTACATATGACCAGTTACACATAGTGGTGTACACCAATAATTGTAGGTGTACACATTTCTATGCAGGCCTACGTCAGTCGTATACACATTATGTTTAGATTAATGTATATGTTTACATATTTGTATACAATTGACAGGGCTTCTTAATATCCATATAACTACGTAACATATCATAGGGCTTCTTAATATCCATACAGCCACACGATATATAACTCAAAATTAATACTCTATTTGTTCCTTTCGTTTAATGGGATTTCACTTTTTCTGACAATACCACGGCAGCCGTCTGGAATCTGTGTTCTGGTTAGAAAGAGTCATGTTGTCTGTCGTAATTTCCACTCTATAAATTGAAGAAACAAATTAACGTTTAACATATTATAGTTTGAACAACAGACGTCTATGTTGCATTATATTTTTATTTATGCTAATGTTTTATTAAAAATGTGCAAGATTAAGGTAAACATTTATGTTGTATAATACAATAATCGTGGCATTACGATTCTAGCATTCGTACCGTCGCATCTTTTGTCTTGGAACTTATAAAATTCTTGTGTCGAAATCGTCGACCACTTTTTCTCCTACCACTACTCCGTTCTGGTACAGGGTCGTTGTGGAAGCGTGCGCCGAGTGGCCTGTTGTCAGACACCGGACTAGGCTTGGGCTCTGGTAAAAATCCAACTCCCATGTGTACGTGTTTTGGCGGTAGGGGTTCCTTGTGTACAACAATTTCGTGTGGTCGCTCTTCTTCACCAACCACAGCAAAACAGCAGTAGTAACAACAACAGAAAATGAGCAGCGCCAATATCAGTACACCAGCCACAGAACCGAGAATAATTGCGACTATTAGCAGCGTTGACAGACCTGTACACAAAACACACATATATTAAATTCCATTCAAGCGGAACTCTCTATTCCGCGGGAGTGGGAGGGTCTGATCCACCTTTGGGCACGGGCATGCATGTCACTTAGAAAGTGGCCGACACCAGAGGCGTTGGTTAGCGCCACTGAACATTGCATTCTGTCGTGAATATCAGCGCTATACAAAGTCTTGAATGAATGATTGATTGATTGATTGATTGATTGATTGATTGATTGATTGATTGATTGATTGATTGATTTCGTTCATAAACAAATGAAAATATAAAATTAGAATATCTTTTAGCTCAGCACACCAACAGCATGCCTTTAATTCTTGATTTGCTTCTTAAGGTGCGTTCACACCGAATCCGAATTTTTGAATCATCGCAAAGCCTAAAGCCGGGCTCGGGCATTCACTGCACAACGACGGTAGTCGGCCGACGCAATTAATTCAACGCAACGCCACGACGCGCGCAACGGATGTCACTAATGAAGACAGTGCCACTGATGATCAGCAGACAGTGTCGCTTCGTGTAACGCTCATAGGGAACGGAGTTTGATTCGTCAGCTGACGGCCGTACGATGCAGTGAGTTCCCGGCATAACGAACCGATCAGAAATTGGGATCAGTACTAAGGCCGGCCACTCACTGCGTTCGACGGTCGTCAATCGACGCAATTTTTTGAAGAGCTCAACGCGACGACACGCACGGAACGGATCGTTTTTAACCACAAATCCGCTCAGACTGCCACCGAAAATCAGCAGACGACGTCGCATCGTCTAGCACTCACGGGGGCGGAGTTGGATTCGTCGTGCTACGGTCGTACGACGCAATGAGTGCCCGGCTTAAGGCCTGTTTAGGACTATACTTCAACAATAACGATAACGATCAAAAACCTAAAAAGCAATTGTTCATATAAAAAATAAAAGAAAAGTTTTTACACTAGAACGATTCGATAACGATTTATCAGTTACCGTATGCGATAACAGCATATTTTGACAAATCAAATCAGATGACCTCATAATCATGGAAACATTGAAATCGTAGTAGTAGCAACGATTTTATCGTTTTTAGATGACTATGACGTCATATGATTTGATTTGTGAAAATATTTTGTTATCGAATCGTCCTAGTGTAAAAAACTGCTCTTATTTCTTTTGTTTTCTATATGAACAATCGCTTTTTAGCTTTTTTATCGTTATCGTTATCGTTGAAGTATAAACAGGCCTTTAAGAATGGAAGGGAGAAACGCGGTCTGAATTTCGGTTCTAATCCGACGTGAATGCAGATACTGCCGGTTGATATTACTGTACAGTAATAAGTTTTAAGACACTATACCTTTTTCTGTGCATTTGTCCCCTTTATAGTCATCAACGCAGATACACGCAAAGCTGTCCTCGCCATCTGTCACACATGCGCCGCCATTTTCACAGGGATTATCGTCACAAACCGTAGTCCCTGAAAATATAACCGTCGAATACGAATCTACTTTTTAATATTGGCTTTCATGCGATTATAAGAACAGGAGGTGGATATTAAGCCGGTAAAGCGTTTCTTCGTTAACACAGCATTTAGAGGTGTCCGGTCAGTGAAGGATGAGCAAATTCGAATTACAGTAATTGCAGTAATACAATAATAGTTATAGGCATCATTATAATATAATCATTAATATTGATGTAATTATTTATTTATATAATATTAATTATCATATAATAATATTTTATTTGTACATAACTTTAAACTTTAAACAAAAACAACAATAACATTAACAATAACTTATAACAATAACAATAACCTATAACAATAATAATAATAACAATAACATTAACAATAACTTATAACGATAACATTAACCTGGAAGAAGAAGAATGGGTTATTCGTTTTGAAGAAAAGTTAATTGCCGGTGACTTCGGTTCCACCATTGAGGTAGGCCTACAATCCATTTGTATTGCTTTTACCTTCCACAGTAACTGTAAATCGACAAATGGCCGACTTTCCACTACTCGCGTCGGTGGCTGTGTAAGTGACTGATGTTGTCTCTCCAGTAGTAAATGTTGAGCCCGGGCTTACGTCATTGGTGAGCGTTACCATACCAGAATTGTCCTCTGCGGTCGGCTCATTCCAGGATATCGTGACAGTGTTCTTGTTACTAACCGTCCTCTGTATGTCACCTGGACAACCATTCACCACTGGAGCGGTGGTATCTATAATCAATAGGAGGCACTGTATAATTCGTCGATATCTCCTAGCTACGTTTTAGTACGACACGTTTATAGGAAATGGTTTAACCCCTTAAGACAGTGTATAAAGGCTGTCCCCTTCGAAACATCAACATAATCCCTATGGGCAAAAACACATGTAAACGATTGATTGTATACAATGCAAACATTTATATATTACCGAATTCATTCGAATAAACGCCCAGTTTTGAATAAACGGCCCATCGAATAAATCTCCCCCTCAAGAGCTTCATTTGGAATAAACGCCTCCCTCGAATAAACGCCCCGGGCGTTTATTTTTCCTACAATATACTACTCCAGAAGAATTACATTTTTTCTAACATATTTGGAATCAAGTCTTTATGATCAGGCAATATCATATTTTGGTGGTAATTATGTTGTAGTTCCAGTGAAATTAATGAGCATTTACAGTGAAATTAATGAGCGTTTACAGTATTTGAGTATACACATATCCATTTTACACCCAAAAAAATAAACGCCACCCCTCGAATAAACACCCTCCTCAACAATAAACGCCCCCAGCGTTTATTTGAATAAATACTGTATGTAGTATGTTATCACTGCAGCTACAAACGTTAATACATTTTCCGTAAACTTTTGTCTTTTATTCTACCAACTGACTGGAGTTATTGAATTCACCTTGTCATAGCAGCAGCTATGGATTTACTACAGCCACCGACGACAAAATGTTAAGCTCCGTACACACTATGAAGTTGTATGTGACAAAAATATGTGACATGCCCATATTTGGGTGTAAGATGACATCATCATTGCCATATATGGGCACATAAATTTTTCACATAATTTGATAGTGTTGACAGAGCTTAGCAATGAAATACTACCGCCCAAGAGTATAGAATTGCAAAAGGTCCGACTCTCGGGTATTTGCTGGAACGCAATCCTATCTCAAAAAGTACTACCATGAACTAGAGGGCGTTTTCAATAGTATAAATTTAGTATTAATAGGGCGCCCCCTATCTTGTGGTAGTACTTTTTTAACGTTTCATTGCCTGCATACAAAATCAGGGCAGTCGGTCTTTTGCAATTCTATACTATATGCTACCACTAAAGGTGGAACAAAACATCAAGTAAATACAATACCTCTCTCTCGAACCTTCGGGGAGGTAATAAAACTTACCTTGAATAATAACATCAAATCGGCATTCGGCCGTAGAACCGAAGGGATCTATTGCCATGTATATTACTGTATATGTAGCAGGCCCTGTGAAGGTATCGCCTGGATCGTAGTTAGATGTAACTGTTGAATCATCCGACACAACTGGCTCTGTCCAGGTCGCTGCCGTGCTCGGGCCAGTCATCTCCACTTCTTTATTGACAGGACAACTGTTGAACGTAGGAACTCCATCAACTGAAAACGTAATGAAAATCGATTATGATTATGATTATGTATTCATTCTTTCTGCTGTCGGCTGCTTTTTCCTAGTTCTCCGGTTTGTTTTGCTTGCTTGCTTAATTGTTTTAGTTAGATACTCCCATTACTTGAGCACCTGTGAGTAATGAATAGGCGGGCCATGTGCCTTAAATTGCCTGTAAACGGTGCGGTGATGGTGTGGAGTTTCTTTTCTTGTAGCTTTAGGTTCATGGTAATTTTTTTGTTCCTTCCTGTAGCGCCTTGAGCACTACTGCAGTGGATTTGTGCGCTTTATAAATAATAATATTATTATTATTATTATTATTATTATTATTATTATTATTATTATTATTATTATTATTATTATTATTATTATTTAATTGACCAGCTCTTCTATCTTCCAAAAACCCATAATAGCTTGCGCCTGTACCGTAATAAGCGTGAAGGAACGCGCAGACCTGTCTTTTTTTTTTATCGGTGGAGAGCACCGCTTAGATACGCCACAACAAATGAATAGATGAGTCGATTTATTCGGTGTAAACACATAGAATAACCCACGGAAGTCTGAAGAAGACTTATTTCCAGCGGGGTCCTTCTGGTGGTGATTAGAAAGTACACCGGGGTTTATACCTTTGTTTCAATTTGATTTTGTTATTCTGTTTAAATTCAGTTGTTTAATTTGGTCAATAAACGTAGTAGTACTTTTGAATTGAAGAGTGTATTGCGTTCTTTAACGTACACACGGACCATAATGCACACGGGATCAATGGCTTAAACGTCTCATCCGGAATACGTTGCGCTTTCGTAACTTGTATTTCAGCCCTTCAGCTGAAACACAAGGAGAGCAGCAATGGGGATTGAACAGGGGACATAGAGATCTCCACGGTTCAGCGGATACGGCTACCACCAGTTTAGCCGTGAGCTAAGCTGCTCTCGATTAAATACATATTTACCAGAGACAACAACATTAAATTTGCACGTCGCCTCGTTTCCAGCTTCGTCCGTTGCCCTGTAGATGACTTCTGTAGACGTGTCAACTGAGAATGCGTATCCAGAGTTAACATTAAAAGTTATTTCGATGTCAGAAGCATCACTGACACTGTCGTTGGCTGTTGGCATGTCCCAAGTGACAGCATACGTGCCTATAACATCCGGACCAACTATTCTATTGATGTCAGCTGGACAGTAGGTGAACGTTGGTGCTGTACGATCTGGTACAATTACTGTTCAGAAAGAAGAAAAAATAGGTACTGTAATAATTCTCCTAAGAATTTGCTAAGCAGCAAAAATACAAGGCGAAAGTGACCATACATGGTAGGCTAACGAATGATTCTGACCATTCTATGAGGTCTATTATCTGCATCTCTCCGGTACGAGTAATGGTGACTATGATGCTGGTGGTTGTGATGATGTTGGTAATCAGAAGTACGAGGTTGTTATGTGACCATTGTGCAAGGTAAAGTGGTAGTTTCCGGGGGAAACGTCCGCCCCCTACATCACGAGCGACGCCCACCATGGAAGGATTGATGTGTGGATGGTATCGATGGAGTGGCATGGTAATGATAGTAGCTCATTGTTAACGGTTGTGTAATGTTAACTTCTTTGAATTCAGTAGAAACCAAGCTTAAGGTTAAGCACGAAGGTGGTAACCAGGTGTACAAATGATCCGAGAGACTATTTATTTATTAAAAATTCGACACATACAAAAATAGACACATCCCCGTAGAAAAAAAAAAGTATAACAGAAAAAACAATGTAGTACAGAAAGACAGGTTAGCGACATGTCAAGAGAGAATAATGGGCTGAGAGTCCGATACCAGAGAGAGAATTAACAAGTTGTCGTAGTCTCGAAAGTTCCGATGAGGGCAGTATAATAGAGGCAGTAGAGTATATTGGCCTTAACGGCCGCCCATATAAAAAAGATCCATTAATCAATCAGCCGAGTGTTTCTAGAGCTCCTCTAAAAACTAAAAAAATATTTTGTTTTATAAATATAAAGTTAACATGGTACGGGTGATAATTTGTATGTAATATATCTAGGCCCTACTTTTTATCCACTCTCACCATTCGCTTCATGTTCATAACCGTCGGGCTCATTGTAAATACGACCATCGAGGTCTTTCATGGACTGGGTTTGTCTCTGTTCTTCGAAACACGTATTATTGTCATATTTGTAAGAATGTATAATGCAAATATGTTTTTTCTTATTGAAGGCACGAGAAATTGTGACAAGAATAGGCCTACGTAATGGTGACTTACCGATAACCATAATCGAGAAAGTGCATTGATTCGAATTCCCTGCTTCGTCTCTCACTATGTACGTGACAGTAGTTGTTCCTTCACCAAACGAGTCACCTGAGTCGTGAGTTGAAATGAGTGTCTCATAATTACCACTGGGGATCGGTGTAATCCATGTAACTGTGGTTTCCGTTTCATTTTCCGGTATCTCTAACACTTGATCACCAGGACAAACAACCGTCGGTGCGTCATTGTCGAAAACAGCTGTATATTAGAAATAATTAATTAAACATGAAATTGTTTAAAATTATAAGTATTATGTATATGTTCAATATTAGGGAGACTTCGCAGTCTTACGAAAACGATAACGAATACGACTACGTCATTATCATTATCGTCATCCGTGCTTGAAACATTCTTGACAATAGCCTATGATGTACGAGATGAATATGATCCTTGATTCATGCAATAGTCACATATCGCCTACGTTGTGATAGATATGCTACTGTAGGGCAAGGGTTGGCTAAACATTCGATGACGTAACCGTATTCGTTATTGTTTTCGTAAGCTTGCGAAAACTGTCCATTATTTATTTTAGCGGAATATCCTGTCTAACTGTATATTTTGTTCTTTCTTTCCTTAATTTTGAGAAAGAATATATATAAAATATATATATAAATCATCAAAGAAATTTATATATAAGAGATTTATAAATTTTTCATATATATATATATATATATATATACATTTCTTTATGATTTATATATATATAAATTTCTTTGATGATTTATATATATAAGAATGTATATATGTATATATATATATAAATCATCAAAGAAATTTATATATAAGAGATTTATAAATTTTTCATATATATATATATATATATATACAT